TGTGTGTGTGTGTGTGTGTGTGTGTGTGTGTGTGTGTGTGTGTTTATGTATATGTTTCATATATATATTTATTTAAATATATTAATATATATATATAATATATATATATATAATATATATAATATATATATATATATATATATATATATATATATAGAGAGAGAGAGAGAGAGAGAGAGAGAGAGAGAGAGAGAGAGAGAGAGAGGAAAGAGACATGATTATATATGTATATATATATATATATATATATATATATATATAATATATATATATATATATATTTATATATTATACATAGTATATATTATACATTATAATATATATATATATATATATATAATATATAATAATAATATATATATATATATATATATATATATATCCCCCTTCTCTCTCTCTCTCTCTCTCTCCTCCTTCCTTCCTCCTCCCTCTCTGTTCCCCTCTCTCTCGCTCCCCCTCTCTGTTACCACTCTCTATCCCTAGTTCTCACTGTGTACATAAAGAGATAATTGAAATATCAACCGATTGTCTACACAAACATCCTGATTCACTCTGCATTTCCATCACTGAATTTCTCCATCGCATCACTGTTCTCTCCATTGACTCATTTCCTTTTCGTAGTCCCGTTTCCCACAGACATGATCAACTCTTCTCGTCGTCCTGTGAACCAAATGAATGAATAACTCACCAGAAACACACACATATCCGCTATACTTACACTCGTCCAAAATGTATCCCACACAGACACCAGCCAGACATGTGGTGTAGGTCGAGCGAGCTGGTGTTGCGTCAGGTTTATTCTCTCGTTCAACAAACTGTCAGAGTAACCGTTGTTCCTGTAAGATGAGTCTACATTATTCACCAACTTCGGATTGCTGAGGTTTTGGGTACAGCGAGCCTGACCTTGGTGCCAAATATGAATGTTTTCTTAATCGAAGCTTGCAGGGCAACTTAGGTATTGTTGTTCTGCCAGGTATCTGTGTCAGTAATGACTATCTTTAAGTAAAATTGTAATACAAGATAAAACGTTGAGACAAAGTGCATGATCTCACTGCATGACCTTCATCATACCTATAAAGCCACTGGATATTGCCAGTCACGTGGGTGTAATCAGAGCAGGCAGAGATATAATGAGGCGGGTGGGAGTGCCTGTCAGTGTCGTGGTACTGATGTTTGTACAGAGAAAATCGTGAGCTAAACTACACACTTTGTATCGTAGTGGGTGTCGGACGGTGATGTAGCTGCGGTTATGAAGTAGGCCGCTTGTGGTTTAGGACCCGCGTTATTATAGCTGTTGTCAGGCGACTGTATTTAGAGAGGCGAAGTTATGATTATGGTTGTGGACGATTACTGATGTAGAGGCACTTTTTTTTTTTAGAATATACCAGCGGGAAGAGGTTGTAATTACGCAGAAGGGATAGGTAAACAGAATCGATAAATAATCAACGTAGAAGCACCGTGGGAAGTTTCTTCAAAGGAAAGAGGTGGTGGTGGTTTGTAGTACGCCAGTTGCCTGTAGAGTAGAGTTGTATTTAGAGACAATGCCTATGATTTGCTTTGTATTTATATATCTATTTATGTTTACTTCTTAGGACCTCTGATAAAGGCAAAGCGGAATGCGTGTCTGACTGGAAACCCCAACACCGCACAGGTATGATCATGCCAAACTTTTTTCTTTTCTTTTCTTTTTCTTCTTTAATTTGTTGTATTTGTTGTATGTCAGATGGAAAAGAAGTGAATTCACAGACTGAAATGGCTTCATATTTAAAAATCTGAGTGAAAGGATTAAGTTGTAGATAAAAGATAGCCTTTTGGGAAGGACAAGACAGCTTCTCGTTGAACAAACAAGCTGTTGTGTTGAGGTGACAGCCCAATTAAAGTGGGAAGGATAAGATACACTTGTTCAGATCCTAGATAAGTGTAAGTGAAGGGTTTGGGTTAATATGGATAAGAATGAACCGTGAAGCAAAGTGAATGTTGAAGTAGAGCAGTTTGGATTGTGAATTTTAGAAACAGAAATTCCAACGTGTTAACTGTATCTTAATAGCTAGCTGGACGGATAGATCTTCGAAATTTCAGCTTTAGGGGTGGTAATAGGAAAATGTAATTTGACAGACCTAAGCTAGTTTAGATTAGGAAGGAAAAGTAGCTCTTTGAATAAGTGTTTATACACTGCTTGATGTTGTAAAGAAGTGATATATTTTATTTGCGTTGCAGAAATGTGACACAGTTTACCCTGTGGAAGAAATATTTTATATTTCAACTTTATTACTTATTGTTGGCATTATTTGACTCCATGAACTCATGCAGGAAGGAATGCGGAAGAGGAAAAGGCTAAAAGACGAACATCTGCAGTTTGACTTCATTCAAGTAACAGAAATAATGCGTTTCACTACTATATATATATATATATATATATATATATATATATATATATATATATATATAATATATATATATATATATATATTATATATGTGTGTGTGTGTGTGTGTGTGAAGGAAAATCTAATTAAACATTCAACCTGGGATGAAGGACATCAAACAGGGATACAGAATGTTGAGGACAAGGAATAAATGAATTTATAATTGCGAATGAACAAGTTTATTAGCTCGCAATCGGACATCAGGGTAGATAGATGACCAACAATCCATTACTTTCAGAGTTGCTTACCCAAGAGAAAGAGAGAGATGTTTGGTTGCATAGATCTTTTGAGTCTACCTTAAAATGATAGAAAACGAGTGCTTTAAATAATTAGTGAAATGGGATCGAATCAGATAGAAGAAAGATGGTAATAGACAAAGTATGAAGACATCTAGAAGTGAGATGCTTTGCAGTCAGATTGATATAAACCATGAATCACTTATCTCCCTCAGAGGTAATTTATTGATAAACCAATTAGTAAGTTTGGATAAGTATGAAGCGTATGTTTAAAACAGGTGGTGGTGCTCTATCCCTATAAAAGAAGCCAGTGTTTTTGAATAGGACGCGGGATGTGTGGTTAGGATCCCATATGGCCCAGATCAAGTTACTTAGAACACGTCGGTGGGGGGTAAGGAGAGGGCCGAGGAGAAAGAGAAGGAGGAGGAGGAAGAAGAGACAGAGGGCGTGGATATTATCCTCGTTTTGGAGTGCATGGCGTTTGCATGATCTTAAAGTATGATCTGTAACACGTTCGTAGGTCGAGGGAACACCTGATTAGTAGCCACGTTTAACCCCCAGATGGGAAGGGGAAAGGGAAGAGAGATAGAGAAGGGGGGGAAGCACGGGAGATAATGATGGGGTGAGAGAGGTTCCGAAGTCAGGAAGTGGAGGTTACGTCCCATGATGGAGGGCTTCTTGCCATGATGGAGGTTTCTTCTTACGATGGAAAATCTTTTTCACTGTCAAGATTTATTCTGCTGGTAAAGGTCCCGCCTCACGATAACGGCTTCTCCTCACGAAACAGAAAGGTTTCTCTGGAGCTCCCGAAGGCTTCACGGGGGATGTGGAGGGATGGTGTGGTGGCGAAGGGGGTGTGGTGGCGAAGGGGGGGGGGTTGGTGGCGAGGGGGGGGGTTGTGTGGCGAGGAGGGTTGTGGTGAGGGAGAAAATGCTGGTGGAAACTGATGGTGAGGGAGGAAGGGTTGTGATGGGGACTGATAGTGAGGGAGGAAGGGTGAGGGGAAGGGTTGATGGGGACTCTGATAGTGAGGGAGGAAGGGTTGTAGTGGTGATGGTAGAAAGGTTGTATTGCGAAGGAGGAAGTGAGGTGATGTGGGAAGAAGGGTTGTGGTGAGGAGGGAGGGGGAGCTTTAGTGGTGGAGGAAGGTTTGTAGTGGAGAAGAACAGGGCGAATTTGTAGAAAATAATGATGGAGGAACGGTTGTGTTGGTGAAACTGGGGGGGGGTTATATTGAGGAGAATAGGGTTATATTAGGGAGAAAGGGCTTAATTGCAGGAGGAAAGCTTTCTGGTGGTGAGAGAGGAAGGGAAGAAGCTCTATAGTGATGAGGGAGGAAGGGCTGGGATGGTAGAAGGAGAAGGAAGCATTCGAGGATTAAAAATGGATTGTGTTCCTTAGTTTTTGAGAGGAGAAAGCAGACAAAAAGATTTACATTTGTAAGATGTGTTTCCATGAAGCTACGGTCGTACTCGATGGTATAAGGCCCAGGCGTATGTCGAGGAATACGCACTTCTTTCTCCACGTGTTGGCGTCCGTGGTGGTGGAGGTCGTGGTGGCGGCGCTGGTGGAGGAGGCGGTGCTGGAGAGGGGAGCAGAAGCCTTCCGTTGCCTCTGAAGATCCCAGGGCCTCGCCAGCCTTCCCCTCGGCCCCCGTCTCGCTCCTGGGGAAGAAAAATCACGTAAGGGGGATTTGGCCTGTCTTCTTCCTCTCCTATTTCCTATATACGTTTGTCCCTCCCCTGTTTCTCTTGTAGTTTAGGAGGTAAAGAAATATCGGTTTTGTATTTCCGATATATATTTTTAGACACCGTGAGGCAATATATTTATAGAGTCCAAATTTGCGTGCTGCACTGGACTTTATTGAAGATTGTATGATTATTTTGTTGTTGGAAAGTTTTTCACACATGTATTATATCGCCATCATTATGATACCGTCATATACAAAGGGTAATGTGAAGGAAAGTGAAATCGAAGTGTTTATTCCACAGATAATTCCCCCGCCGATTCGGGGTCCGTGATAGACCCTGTGATCTCATCCTCTTCGTTGGTGCATTTTAAAAAGAAATCCCGCCGGGCTTAAACGCGTATGATTTATCACTAGCAATAAGTGATTCGCATCCCCGCTGATTCCGAATTATTCGAGTGTAATTCGCCGATATGCATAATATACGCACAAACATTTTGCTTGGTTCTCAACTGGAGTAATTTCAGGTTTCAATATTCGAACAATATCCGAGTATTTACCCATAATCCGGCTCTCTGCGCTGAATTTAATTTCATGCGAACACAAAGTTGATAGTTATTCGTTATCCTCCCGCGTTCATAAATGGCTTATGAAACTTTTATTCGTTAGGCAGGATATAGACTTTAGTAAATTATTACTATTACTGGAGCAGGGGTGACTCACTCATTTTCTTTTATTCGTAATAAAGCGAGGACTGATACCCCGTGTGTTGCTATGCGGCCCCGTTCACTTGTGAAAGAAAATGGCACAGCATATGGATGTGATGGGAACGAGCAAAGTTTAGAATGAAGGGGTTAGGAAAAAAAAGGGGAAGCGGTGCGAGCGAAGGACAAGAGGAACGGGTAAATAAGATCGCACAGAAAACGGAGAACCGAAATGTTCGAAGCAGATTACGTAAAATAGAAAGGGGAACAAGAACAGATAATGGAGAACAGAGGAATCGGCGACAGAGGAATACAAAGATACGACAGTGTATGCACAGAGACACATATGCAGAATGAAAGGGGGAGAGAGTGTGTACATATAATATATAGATATCGCAACATAGATTAGATACAGTAATGTGGATGAACAACAATTAACAAGACAGTGAGGCAGGCAGACGTAGTGATAAGGGATACGAGCGCAGATAAAGGGAAGAGGAGAATAACCCAAATGTAAATGAAACAGAGAGAAAAATAAAGATGGTGTAAGAAGAGAATGTATTTTATTATCTTTTAAAAAAAGCTGAATAAATCCTTTGCGGGTTGACAAAAGAGAAGACCCACATAAAAAGGATTTTTGTCCGTAGAGCCAAAAAGCTTACTTCTACCCGTGTCATTCATACTTTTAAAAAATCACCCAAAACCAGAAATCGGAAAATAAAAGAGAGAAAAGGACACAGAGGAAAGAGTGAAGAATAACACAGAGTAACGAATGGCATGGATAAAGTAGCAGCGGAGGAGGGTATTGAATTACCAGAACGGGGTCAAAGGAAGAAGCGATCAGCAAAAGGGAAGAGAGTTTGTGTTTATAGAAGGATGGCTTAAGTACAAGTTTCCTGAATACACGAGACGATTTGGAAGTTCGGAAAGGGAGACAGAGACAGAATGAGCGATGAAAGAGAGCTGATAGAGAAGTGTCAAGAGAGGAAGCGGCGACCAAAGGAGAGGCAGAAGGAAATGGTGGTAAATTATCGTGGGAAAAAGGGCAGGGGAAGAGCAAATAAAAGTAAATAGGGTGTGATATATAGGAAGATTATATATCTATCTGTCTATCTATCTATCTATCCGTCTATCTTTCTATCTATACATGCACACACACACACACACACACACACACACACACACCACACACACACACACACACACACACACACACACACACACACACACACACACACACACACACATATGTATATATATATATATATATATATATATATTATATATATATATATATATATATATATATATATTATATATATTACAGAGAGAGAGAGAGAGAGAGAGAGAGAGAGAGAGAGAGAGAGAGAGAGAGAGAGAGAGACGAGAGAGACAGAAAAACAACATTGATGAATAGATAAGTAGATATACATTAGGTATACAGACAGGTAAATTACATAAATAGATAGACAAATGTAGAGGGAGAAAAAAGGAGACCGGGAGAGAGAGAGAGAGAGAGAGAGAGAGATAAGCAACATGCATTCGCAATAAAAAGACAGAATGAGGGAAGAAGAGAAAGGCAGATAGGTAGAGAGAGGCGATCAAGATAAAAAGATCATGATAATAAAAAGAGAAAGAGGCTGAAGATAAGGAAATGCAGCCTTAATTCGCCATTTCGATAGCAGAAGAGTGAAATAAAGTTAAGAGGAAAGTAAGTCTGCGTAAGTACCCCCTCCAATTACGGAAAAAACGTCAATGAAAAAAAAATAAAAAACGGAGCTCCCAAGTTCTTGCTCTCCCGAAAAATCTATGAAATATAGTAGATTACTATTTTCGAGAAAAAAAAATCGAGATAGTCTACCCTTTTTGTTAATATCCCCACTTAAGACCTCAAGCCTTTGATATGTGGCAGAGCTTAGAATCTAAAATTATCTACGTCCAACATTGCAAACCTGCAACAGCGAGATTCTTAGCCTTGACATGCAACAACCGGGTAAGCATGATTTACTCAAGGTGCACTGTACTTTGCAAAATTGCGCAACGACCCTTTGCGTATGTCGGTAATTTGCGAATTAAAGCACCCTTGAATCATTCTGTAAATAAAGATCTCCTTAGTCATTAATACAATTGATCACAACGTCCCATTCTCGTAACTTTGCTAATATCGTATAATTCTCGCCAACTTTATAACTAACTAGAGATAGTCAGGAAGATTTTCTTTTTTTTCTTGTCTCCGTTTATTATATTTCTGTAGCCTTTTTCCTCATATCCTTTTCTCTTTTTTTAGTATCTGTCTTTGTGTCTTTATTTCTTTCTATCCATCTCTCTCTCTCTCTCTCTCTCTCTCTCTCTCTCTCTCTCTCTCTCTCTCTCTCTCTCTCTCTCTCTCTCTCTCTCTCTCCCTAATCCCTTCGCCCCCTTTCCTCCTATCCCCAGCCCTTCTCCTTCCCTACCCACCTCCAGTCACCCTCTCTCCCTCTGTTCCTCCTTCCCAATCTTCCTGCTCTCCTCCTTTCCTCCCTACTCTCTACCCTCTCCATCCCTCCCTATCTCCCTGTCCTCCACCCTTTCTCTCTCACTTTCTCCTTCTCCCTTCCCTCCCTATGTTTGTCCCCCTCCTTCCTTCCCTATCTCCCTACCCCTCTATCTCTACCCCCTCCATCCTCCTACCTCCCTGCCTCCACCTTTTCTCTCTCTCTTTCTCCTCCTTCCCTCGAGTCCTCCTCACCCACGCCCTTATAGGTGGTTGATCCCCCGAAAGTCTCCCATGATCGCTAAACCTCGAAATCAATTTTCCTCAATGATAGTGCCACCCAAATCATGATTATCCTCCTCCTCCCCCACCCTACCTCCTCTTTCCCCCTCCCTCTACCTCCTCCCCCCTCCTTCCTCCCTATTTTCCATCTCCCATACCCCCTTTTTTTCACTATCTTCGGTGTTATTTATAGCCATCAAAGACCTTTTATCTGTGTCTAGAATTGGCATTCTCTCTTTTTCCTTCTTCGACGCCCTCCCCCTTCCCCCAAGCCCCTCCCCCCTTCACCCCTTTCTCAAAAAAAAAAAAAAAACTACTCTGACCTTGAAATCCGACCCAATGATCAGAACTGGCGTTAGCATGGTAATCATGGCGACTATGATTTCTATATTTTATCGTTATGATTCCTGGGCTTCAATTGGCAACCGGTGATTGCCCCTCCCTTCGATCGCATAGCACTTTCTTCCCCCCTCAACTTCAAACCCTCTTGTGTGCTTGCAGAGGTAGAGAGGAGGGGGGGAGAAAAGGCCTGAGGGAAGGGGAAGAAGATGAGAGAGGGGAGAGGGAGAGGAGAGGTGAGAAAGGGGAGAGAAAAGAGGTAGGAGAGGAAAGAGGTGAGAAAGGGGGAGGGAAAAGAGAGGAGAAGAGAGATGGAGTAGTGGAATAACATAAGGACAGAGAGAGAGAGAGAAGTAAAGAAAAGACAAAAAACAAAGGCGAAAAAAGAAAAGAGAAAATAAGAGAGATAGATAAAAAATATAATAAATAAAAAAAATAAAAAGAGACAACACGCACCCAAAAGAACCAGCACCCCCGAGAGAACGCAACCCAGACTCGAACCCTATACATTATGAAGGAGAAATCACCCTTATCAAGAAATACAGCGATATCATTATCCAAATTTATCAATAGGAAAACACAGGAATTTGAACCCGGCCTTGCAAAAACACAAGCCGATATCCGCCCAGAGAAAATAACATCAGCCAACATCATATTATCTGTTCAGGACGAGGTAGAGTTGTGGTTTTCGAAATTGGTGCGTTGAGAGTGTCCATCACGGGCGAGGAGAGTCCGCTGGTGAGACAACATAGGGCTTCTTCCTATGTTGGCTTCGTCTCTCTTCTTTCAATTCTTGTTCTTTATTCTGCGGTACCTCATTGTAATCATCGTCTTTATCGTCTTCTTCTTTCGCCTTCTCATTGTTTTCTTGTCCTCCTGCTTTTACTTCTTTATCTTCATCACTTCATTATCGTCATCATCATCGTTCGTTCCTTCTTTTTTCTTTTTCCTTTTCATTTATTTATCCTTCTTTTTTTTTCTTTTTTGGCTTTTTTTTCTTCTTCATTTCCTATTTTAATTTTCCACTTCTATTTATTTTGCTTTGATGTCAACTCTTCGCTCTTCTTCGCTTGCTTATTCTTTTCACGTTTATCTTTCCCTTATATTCATTTAGCTGTCATTTCTCACCCCTTCTAAATTCCCCTACTACTAACCCCCCCCCCCCTGATGCTACACCCCCACCCCGATCCGCCATCCGTGTCCACCCCCCCCCCCACCTCTCATCCCCTCCTCCACCCACTCTCCTCATTTTCGTCCCCCTTCTTCATCATTTATTTACCTTTCGCGGTCGTTTCCCTGTTTCTTCGTTCGATTGCCCTCTCTGCCTCCACCCACCTGCACTCTCCCATCGTCTCTCGCCCTCTCTACCCCTTCTGTTCCCTCTGCTTTATCGGTCTTTGTCTCTCATTCCCCTTGAAACCTTTATTTACTCTCTCGTGTCACCCGTTTCCCCTCGTCTGTCTTGTTCCTGATCCTTTCCTTTTGAGTTTTTTTTCTATCCTCTCCCCTCTTTCTCGCTTGGTTCTGTTTGGTGTCCTGTTGCTTCTCCTCTTCCCTCATCTCTATCTCTTTTTTTTCTTCCTCCTTCACATTCACTTCATTAATCTCCCTGTCTAAACGATATTCTCTCTTTTTTTTCTCTCTCTCTCTTCAACTTTATCCTCTGTTTCCACTTCTTTTTCCTCTCTATTCTCCTCTCTATCCTCCTTCTTTCTTCAGTTTATTATCATCTGCTTCTTCCTCTTTCTACCACCCTCGTTTCTTTT